CGATGCCTGCTTGCTGGGGTCTCGGGGAAATGTTCCCTCGCTGCTTCCATTAACATCAGAGTCCTGTTTCTTGGCTCTCTCTTGCAGACTGGCCCATTTCTTATTCATACAGCCTTGGGGTCCCATCTTGATGTCCATGGTCTGTGTGATAACACACTAAGGACAAGCCCTGGGGTTTGTCTCTTGTTCCTTTTCAAAAGTCATTTCAAAGTCATCAAGATTCACTATCTGTGCTCCTGAGCGAAAGCTGCCTGTTTGCTGGCCAAGCTTCCGGGTTTCCTATTCCCTCTCTCTGTTTTTTCTGTCTCATTTTTGTCTTTGAAGTTTCTTGTTTTTATCTTCTCTTCTCTCTCTCTCTCTCTCTCTCTCTCTCTCTCTCTCTCTCTCTCTCTCTCTCTCTCTCTCTGCCAGCTCAGCTGTGAGTCTATCATGTTTATCTAACATAAAATAATCCCAGTAGGAGGACATTTAGAATATTTTGCCTGCCACCTGCCAGAAGTGGGCAAAGGGATTTTGTCATAGCCGATCTCCTCATCTGCATGGCAAGGTTCAGTGCTACACAGTGTTTACAAAGTGTTTTTATATTTATTTTATTGTGTGTATGTATTGAAAGGTCTCAGATGTGTGTTCAAGAGAGGCACTGAAATGGATTGTTGGGGAATATGAAGGGCTATCAATGCCGTGGGCAGACATACAGCCAACAAACAGTATGGGGTGCTCTGAGGAGAGGATTTAGGACCCACACGACAGAAGTGACTGTCTCTTCTTATCCCTTCCTGAGGATGGGGGAGGTTTAACAGCACAAGTCTGCAGCCAGGTCTCTGTTTTCCAGGCAGAAGGCAGGGAAGGGGGTTGGAGGCAGAATGTGTGACCATCAATAACCACTCTGAGGTAAACTCACTCCCCAGGTGAGAGGTCCTGACACCCTGCTCACTAGAGTGGGAGCCCGTGTCACCTGTGAGAGGAAGGGCCGCTGGCTGCAGGGGCTGTGGCCTGGGTGGCATCTGGGTTCTGACATTGCGTTCTCTCTTATATGAGTGTGAGGTCATGTGGCATGAGCTCAGAGGACCACTTCATAGAGCACAGCACACTCAGGTAGGCAGGTGTAAGAAGAACTAACTCATTTTTCCTTTTCACTCTACTTTTTGATAGCCTTTTTCAAATGCAATTGTACCTCTGTCAACAAAAAATGTTTTCCTCTTCTTATTGCCCTTTCATGTGTACCATTTGTTCGTTTTTTTTTTTTCCTTTTTAAAAAGAACTATTTTATATGTATGGATGTTTGCCTGTATATATGCATGTGTACCATGTGTGTGCAGTGCCTGAGGAGGCCAGAAGAGGGAGCCAAATCCCCCTGGATCTGGACTTAGAACAGTTGTGAACCACCATGTGGATGCTGGGAATTGAAATCCCATCCTCTGGAAGAGCTGCCAGTGCTTTTAACTACCGAGTTAAAGATAAATGGGAAACCAATAACATGATATTGCAGGGGTATGTTAAAGGTTACCCACACTGACCTTCTATAGGTGGAATGTGGTCACTGGAGTAACTCACCATCTGTGTAGACACTGTGTTCACAAGATGCTGGCTACAGTCCCTCAGGTTTGTGGCTTTAAGGGCGTACAGCATGAAAATGGTCTCAATTTCCAGGGGCACTTACCTCTGCAAACACCAGTGGATTATAAAATGGAGAGATGCTGTAAATCCCAGCAGCTAGCTTGGGAACAGAAAGCCCAACCTGAGATTAGAGTGTAGGATGTGTTCGATTTTGTGAAAAATTAACCTTTTAATTCAAGGTTATTGCTGATTTTCATGCAGCTGCAGAAATTCTGCAGACTCTGGGTGTACCCCCAGTGGCAACACTGGGGTGTTGACCTAGAGACCACTAAGGAAAGTGGTTTCAGTGTTTCAGGGGTCCTCCAGACCCTCAGGACCACGTCTGTCTGCTCTGTTGCTCGTGCACTCATGTCCCGGAGCCGCGAGGCCGCCCCGTGTCTCCGTGTTTGCCCCTTTGAGAGCACTGTGCAGAGAGCACACCGCCTGTGGCCTTTGGCTTCCTGCAGCTGAGTGTTCTTGTGCTCTGTCTGCATGGCTGTGCATCAGTAGGGGGCTCCCGGTTTGTTTTCTGAAGCAGCTTCCACGGAGCAATCGTGCCGCATTGTATTTAACTGTTAGCCCTTTGACAGACATCTCGGTCCTTTCCTGTTTTGAGAATTACAAATAAAATTCCTAGAAACAGGCTTCTTTATAAACTCTTTTTCTAAGGTAAATGTTCAGGGAAAACAATGGCCAAGTTTTAAATTTTCTTTTCAGTTGTTTATTATTTATTTGCAGTGCTGGGGATGGCACTCACCACCTTTGCATGCCAGGCAAAGGGTCCACCATTGTGCTACACCCTCAGCCTTTGACCTCTGATGTGCTTGTACATACAGCACAGACTGGCCTTGAACTCATTACAGTCCTGTTTCTGCCTGTACATGTGTGCTGCAGTACACACTTGATTTTTAAAGAAGCCAAGCTGGTTCACAGCATGTCTTCCCTGAAGATTCCCCGCTGTCAAGGTGTGGGTGATGTGGCTTCTCACTACCCCAGTTGGCTCTGATGCTCCCTCTGGGTTGTATTTTAGCTGTTCTGATAGGCGTGCAACATTGTCTCATGTGGGGGTTAGTTTGCATTTCCCTAATATCTGTGGTGCTGCATTTGGAAGACATCTGCCTCTTCGGTGCAGTTTCTCCATGCCTTTGATGGTAGATCGGCCGTTACTGTCCCCGTGATCGTTCTCCAGACAGTTTGTAGTTTAAGCTTATGCCGGTGGTTGGTTTGAGTTAACTGTTTGTACATAGGTTGGACTGAGTCGCCCTGTGGGTTTGTCACGTTGGCTGGACCCCGTCTTGTGGGGCTGTTTGTGGCTGCCTTCCTGTTCACCATGAACATCAACTCTCCCCATAGTGAGATCACCTTGTGTTTCTTGAAGCATTGTTGTGTAGTTTCACACACAGTCCTAGCCTCTGTGAATCCTCACTCTAGTCTGTATCTCAGTAGTCTTGTAGATGTATACATGTCTGTGTGTATGATACATTCATGTAGATACATACATGCATATATTTGAACGTATATGTGTATATATGCCTGTGTTTATGATGCATGTATATGTATGTGTGTGAACATGTATATATGTCTTTGCATATGATGTACATGTGTATATGTGTATATGTGAAAATGTATATATGCATGTTTGTATATGATATATGCATGTATATATACATATGTGTATATGTGTGAACATTTATGTGTATACATGTCTGGTGCATGATGTATGCATGTATATATGTACATGTATGTATGTGTATGTGTGAATATGTGTGTATACATACCTCTGTTTATGATATATATGCACATATATGTGTATGTATGTCTGTGCATAGGATATATGTATGCATGTATGTAATATATGGATATATATGATATATTTATGTATATGTGTATCTGTATGTGTAAGCAGTATGTGTATATCTGTCTGTGTATGGGATGATTGTATATCTGTATATGTCTATATGTGGTTTTTGTTGAATTGGCTTCTTTACTATCATATAAAGTTTCTTAGTCTCTAACAGGTTCGTTTGTTCTGAAGTCTGTGCTCTCAATACAGCCCTTGCCGCATCCCATTCGCTGCTGCTGTTACATCTTTTTTGTTTTTATTCTACTTTTCTAGTCTGTCTCTTAATTGCTGTATTTATGTCATTTACATTTAATGTAATTACTGAAATATTTGATCATATGTGTGACAATTGACTTTTGTTTTCTGTCTGTCTTAAATTCCTTAGATTCCTTTTTACTACCTTCTTGGAGTTTGCTGACCTTGCAGCTTCGTTTTGACCTTTTCCCTGTGGCGATACTGAATCCTTCTGTTGTGTAGATTTTGTTTCAGTAGTTGCTCCTAGGTTTTTATACCAACATATCAAAGTCCGTTAGTGTCGTCATTTTACTACTTCAAGTGGGGTATAGAAAATTCCTCCCTTTAAACTGTTTTTTGTCTAATTGTCTAAATGTAGTTCTATGATTTTTGCCTTAGCCATCAAACATAATTTAGAATGTATGAGAAGGGAAGCCTGTTCACTTGACCTCTGCATTTCCTACTTTCTTCTGCTTTCCTCTCTACACTCCAACTTTCCTTATTTCATCCTTTGCTTTCTCTTTAGAAATATGTACTTCCATCATCATTTAGGGTAATTTGTTAGTGCCCAATTTGCTAACTTTGTAGATAACAAATTTCTGAGCACTGGCAGTTTCAGAAGATTGAGGGTGGTACCTAATGACAGTCCATGAGGATGAAAAGATGACAGAAGAATGATGTCACACTGGGGCAGACACCACAACCACCTGATTCCCTCCACAAGCACTTCAGATATGGAACTCACATTGTGACACATCTGTGTAATGGAATATTATGTGAGAGCAGAAAAAAGTGAACTATCAATATGTACAACACCACAGGAAAATCTCAAGTGTGGGAATACAAAGGCCAGAAAAAAGATGCACAGAATATGGCCACATGTACATAAACTTTAGAGACTATGAACTACAAACGAGTGGCAAAGAGAAGACCATTGTCTGGGATTACCAAAGGACCTTCAAAGAGCACTGGGAACTGAGGATTTCTCAGTCGCAGACACTTTCCAAATGTATTTCACTGCAGACTTTATAGGGCCCGGCGAGAGGGCCCAGTGGGTAGAGGAGCTTGCCACCAAGTGAACCTGAGTTAGATCCCAGAGCCCACAGTGGAGGGAGAGAACCAGGTCCCGAAAACTGTCCTCTTCCTCATGTGCTGTGGCAGGTGCATGTCTGCACGTGCACCCACACTAGTGAAAACATTAAGAACACACAGTTTATTGCGTATCAGTCACACTTTGGTGTTTGAAGGTGTCTTGTTAGCCAGTGTCCTCACAATACAGATGCAGCGCTGTGAGGCGCCCCTAATTGACACACCTTTCCCATTGCAGGCGATCACACTCTTAACGGAATTAATCCGGGAGAACTTCAGGAGCAGCAAACTGAAGCAGTGCCTCCTGCCCAGCCTTGGGCAGCTCATCTACCTCGTAGCCACCCAGGTGAGACTGGCCGGTGAACTCTGACCCTGCTCACCTCCTGCAGACACCTCCTCACTTCTCCCCTTAGAGCATAATTCAGGGCCTTAGGATACTGTCCACTTCTAGGGAGGAGATCTTTTGCGATCCTTGTATCTCTCTCTGCCCCGCCTCCCTCCCACACTGCCCAAGCTCCTTTAGCTTAGGAGATTCTCAACCATATTTTAAAATGAAAGGACTGAAGTGCTCAAAGCCCTCAGGAGGTTGTTGGTGTTTTTAAGTCCTTCAGGCAGGAGAAGATGTTGCTTTCCCACTGTAAGAGCTCCACCCCTGTTTAAATGAGACACTACTTTGTGCAGACATTAGTGTGACTGTGGGAACTTTTGATGGTAGGATGAAGAATTGCAATTTCTGAAGTCCGCAGGGGCTACTCGCTGTTAACCAGTGTGTTATAAAGACTGTTACTGAGTGAACATTGACAGATTATGGGCTGTCATCTCTCACGTGTGAGCTTTAGATATTCTGACAGGTTTCTCTCACTGTATTTTTGAAGTTTTGTTTCCTCAACTTTCCTGTCTCTAGCCTGCCTTGCCCTCCTGTGCCCTGCACCTGTGCCCTGCACCTGTGTATACAGTTTTTCCTGCTTGTGCCATTATCTCCCATGATACCTGTATTTCTCCCATGACACCTCGAGAGGACATAGATAGCCTTCCCTGGCTCCTGATTGGCCTGCACCCTCTCCAGCCTCTTCTCCTCCTGGACTTTCTTTGTAACACCCATCTCTATCTTGATTTATTTATTTTTTTTAGTATGCGTTTCTGTCTCTGATCTTTATTCAGCACTGCCTCATCATGGCTGTATGGCTGTTTAGAAGTTTCTCCTCTAAGTACATGTTAGTTAAATGCCTTGTTAGGGTTGGGGGTACAGCCTAGCATGTGTGGGACAGTGGGATCAGTCTCCAGGACCACAAATGAATCAATAAATGAATGCATGAATAAATAAAGAAGTGCATATATTGTATGCAGGCCCTGGGGTGGGCAGGGAAGGAGTGAGGAGGCTGGGGAGATGTGGGGAGACCCCCTTGGTGCAGACAGATACCTCTCCGTAAGAGCAAGGAGACCTCCTAAGGTGTTAAGATGGGCTTTAGGTCTGATCTGGTTTAAATGAAGGGATTAGATGGAGAATGCGATTCCCAGGTTCTACGAGGACAAGCCAGGAAGGAGCAGTAGTGGATCTCTGCGCAGAGGGAGCATCGCTGGGGCCGAGGGCATTGAAGGTCCAAGAGAAAGGACTAAAGAATCTACTGGGTAGTGACATGGAAGTCGCTGGGAACTTGGGTCTGGGGACATGGAGAAATGGCTCAGCAGGTAAAGGACTTGCCATGAAAATGTGAAGACCAGAATTTAACTCCTCAGAAGCCACATAAATGCCACCTGGGTGTGGTGGCCACCTAGAACACTAGTGTGAGAGATAGGGTTCCCAGAGCAAGCTGGATCAGTGAGCTCTGGGTTCAAGTGAGAGACTCTGCCTCGATGTAGAAGGTGCAGACTCTGGCTGTCACACCTATATATATGTGAACACAAACACACACCACACACTGTGCACACCACAGAACTGGTTGGTGACTCAACGCCATCTGTTTATGCATTTTTTTTTCCAAGACAGGGTTTCTCTGTGTAGTCTTGGTGCCTGTCCTGGATCTCGCTCTGTAGACCAGGCTGGCCTCGAACTCACAGAGATCCTCCTGGCTCTGCCTCCCGAGTGCAGGGGTTAAAGGTGTGTGCCACCACCGCCCAGCTGGTTATGCATTTTTACTTGGAGTGGGGATACAGAGTCAGGTGAGCGGGCTGAGGAGACTGAGGAGCAAGTGGAAAGGGGTTGTATGAAGTGATAAGGTGGAAGGAGCCCAGGCAGGATTGGAACATACTGTGTAGCTGAGGATGTCCTTAAACTTCTGATCGTCTGGAGAGGGAGACAGTGAACCTACTGAGGTGGAGAGGGGAGTCAGTGGAGAGAAGACATATTGTATCTAGGAATGATGGAGGGAGGGCTGTCCCGTCAGGACACCGGGCATGGGGTAGAGAGGAACTTCCCAGTGTGTGTGGTGGGTGCATAGTGGACATGGTTATTTCTTTCTCACAGATTCTCTGAGGAGGGGAGACTGCACTAAGTGGCAGGAAGGTCACCGGTTAGATATAGAAATACAGTTGGTCAGAGAAGCAGAAAACCCAGAGAGTGGAGGGCATTTCAGGCTTTTGGTGGGAGTGGGGAATTGTAGCCAAGTGATCCAAGTGGCTGGGGGAGGGGCCAGGGCAGGGGGCAGATGGATGGGGTCACTTGCCCCTCTGTGTTCACCTTCCCAGCACATTTTCCCCTTCCTCTGCTTTTTGCTGCTCCTTGTCTGTTTAAGGGTTGTACAAGCTGAGTGGCCCGGCCTTGTCTGTTGAGGCTGTCGGACCCTGGGCTTTTGCCGTAGTCACTCCAGTGGGAGGTGAGCATTCTGCATCTTCGCCTCGCTCCAGATAATGGGTGCTGTGCTGTGGGATGCGGGCACAGCTGGCTGTGCGAGGGCCTGCTCAGCACCCTGTGCAAGACAAGAAGCAGAAATACTGTGTGTGCACATGCAGTAAGAGACCCCAGGCCAAGTCCAAATGTCGGGAGCAAGTGGTGATTTCACCGGACCTGGAAGCTTCAGCTGTGTGCTTGGCAGCTTTTCTTGAATGTTGGAGATCTCTTGTGGCACTACTTTCACGGTCTTTCCTCACCTTCATTTTTTTAGGAAGAAAAAAAACAGCACTCCAGGGACTGCTGGGCTGTCCCCTTGGCTGCGTACACTGTGCTTATGAGGTGCCTCCGGGAAGGGGTAAGGAGCCTTTGTTGTCCTCTGTAGACCTGGCCACTGCAGCCGCCCTCCAGGCGAGGAGCAAGGAGCCGGAGCACAGCCCCCAGCAGTGCACACTTGCCTGTCAACGAGCTATTGCTCCTGAATTTAAGTAATCTGACAGGCTGCATCCTTGCCTAAGTGTCCTGCGTAAAAGATGGGGGGATAGCCAGGTATGGTGGCACACACCTTTAATCCCAGCACTCAGGAGGCAGAGGCAGATGGAACTCTGAGTTAAGGCCACCTTGGTCTGTAGAGTGAGTTCCAGGACAGCCAGGGCTACACAGAGAAACCCTGTCTCAGGAAAAAAAGATGATGGGAAACACAGACAGTGTGGCCTGACCATCTTCTGTAGCAGTGAGTCTCAGCCTGTGGGTTGCATAGCAGATATCCTGCATATCATATATTTACATTAAGATTTATAACAGCAGCAAAACTACAGTTAGGAAGTAGCAACAGAATAATTTTATGGTTGGGGTCACCACAACATGAGGAACTATATTAAAGGGTCAAAGCATTAGGAAGGTTGAGAACCACTACTCTATAAGATTCTGTTAATTACCCTGCCTCCATCCAAGATTTTTCTAGGGCAGCCCAGCAGGCAAGATGTGTGCAGAGCCCTCTGTGAGCCCACCTGACCCATGATGAGCTTGTCACTGCCCTCCTGAGCTCCACACAGATGGCCACCCTATGGCCCATTGTCATGTAGCCTCTCGTTACCACACATAGTGCTTAAAAACTGGTCTAGTGCCAGGTGGTGGTGGTGCACACCTTTAATCTCAGCACTCGGGAGGCCGAGGCAGATGGATCTCTGTGAGTTCAAGGCCAGCCTGGTCTACAGAGTGAGTTCCAGGAAAGGCTCCAAAGCTACAGAGAAACCCTGTCTCAATCCCCACCCCACCCCCCAAAAAAAACCCAAACTGGCCTAGCAGGTTGGTGGCCTCTATCTGCTTTATGCTGTTTGACATGGTTCCACCCAAGGAAAAGCCACAGGCTAAAGACATTAATTACTACAAGAATGAAAAAGATACATCAGGATGAACATTTTCCTTCCAGTGTCACGTGGCAGTGGAGGAGGGTTCCAGCAGTGGATGTCATGTGGCAGTGGAGGAGGGTTCCAGCAGTGGATGTCATGTGGCAGTGGAGGAGGGTTCCAGCAGTGGGTGTCATGCGGCAGTGGAGGAGGGTTCCAGCAGTGGGTGTCACATGACAGTGGAGGAGGGTTCTAGCAGTGGATGTCACATGACAGTGGAGGAGGGTTCCAGCAGTGGATGTCACATGACAGTGGAGGAGGGTTCCAGCAGTGGATGTCACATGACAGTGGAGGAGAGTTCTAGCAGTGGGTGTGCAGGCTGAGGCACTCCTTAGTGGTCAGTGTCTTGGTCAGTGTTCCATTGCTATGAAGTGATACCATGACCATGGCAGCTCTTATAAAGGAAAGCATTTAATTGGTGCTGGCTTACAGTTTCAGAGGTTTGGGAAGCATAGCAGCATGTAGGCAGACATGGTGCTGGAAAAGGAGCTGAGAGTTCTCCATCTCGATCCTCAGGCAGCAGGAAGAAGCGCTGGGCCTGGCTTGAGCACCTGAAACCTCAAAGCCCACCCTAGTGACATACTTCATCCAACAAGGCCACACCTCCTAATAGTGCTACTCCCTGGTGTCCAGGCATTCAAATCCATGAGCCTACGGGCTCTTAGTCTGTAGGTCCTTTGTCATGATGGTGCATGCACCATGGGGTTTAATGCATCATCCTTTATCAGTAACGTGAGAATAGGGTCCTCAGCTGCGGCCAGGACCATGCTCTGACTTATCACTCATGGCCTTAAGCTAGGGCCCTTGTGGAACACAGGTGGAGAAGGGGACCGTCCTGTTGACACACTAGTCCCACCTCTTGGGGAGACAAGATGAAACATGAGAGAATCAATATGTCAAGGATGTAAGGGCCAAAGAAGCTGGTATAAGACCTCAACCGCAGGGTCTTCTGCCAGTGGTGAGCAGGCAGGTCTGGAACGTCCCATCGTTATTTTTAAAGTTGACATTGTTGCCTCCTGGTAGAACCTCTGGAAGTGTCTTTTCTCCAGACTTTTCTCACTGTCTTATTGCTGAGGTGGGAACAATGTGTCCAAGGTGAGAGTGTTAAGTATGTAGTGTTTACAGAGCAGACAAGATATAAAAGTAGTTCTAATGAACAGTAGGTACTGTAGGCAGAAACACGGTGGGTGGAGAGAGGGAGGGAGGGGGGGGGGAGAGAGAGAGAGAGAGAGAGAGAGAGAGAGAGAGAGGAGAGAGAGGGAGAGAGGGAGAGAGGGAGAGAGGGAGAGAGGGAGAGAGGGAGAGAGAGGGAGAGAGGGAGAGAGAGGGAGGGAGGTAATGAATTACCTGTCCCGGGGGAAATAGGGATTTTCTGTGACAGCATGTCCTGGGTGTGTAGAGCCCTGTCTGGACAGATAAGAGGTGGCACTCACTGTCTTTAGTGGGTAAACTGTATGTGGCCACTGTTCTCCTTTGGGGTGGGGACTCCTGGAGGCATCACATGTCGCTGGGTTGGGCTCTGTGTCTGAGAGAGTGGGCGTGCTGCTTCGTACTTTTGCCTTCCGGTCTCTGTGTACAAGTTTTGCAGATGACACAACATGGAGAATGATATTTGTTCACCAAATTATTACTAACAATTTTAAAACAGAAATAAAGTTTTGCGTTTTAGTAACATGCTTGCTTTTTTTTTGTTTGTTTTTTTTTTTTTGTTTTGTTTTTTGTTTTTTGAGACAGGGTTTCTCTGTGTAGTTTTGGTGCCTGTCCTGGAACTCACTCTGTAGACCAGGCTGGCCTCGAACTCACAGAGATCCACCCAGCTCTTCCTCCCAAGTGCTGGGGTTAAAGGCGTGCGCCACCAACGCCCAACAACATGCTTGCTTTTTAGTATCTTGAATTATATATGTTGTGTGTACATGTGTGTACACACATGTACATGTTGAGTCTTATGCTTTCATAAAGGGGGAAGGTTCAAAATTTTTTGTAATTTATGAAGATTCTCTGTGTTGGAGAAGCAATTCAGTGTGTCCTTAGCCGTGAGAACCCTATTTCCCTCACCCACACTGTTACCTTTTGTCCCACCTACTTTATGGTGGCACATTTAAAATGCATTCATTTGTGCCTTTGTTTTCTGAAATGCTGGAAAAAACTGCATACACCATTTCACTCTGCCCAGAGGAACCCATGTGTGTTCTTGTTTGTCGTCTGTGATTATGTGTTGCAGGTGCTTAAACAGATTTATTTTTGTGTGTGTGTGTGTGTATGTGCGTGTGTGTGTGTGCGCGCGCATGTATGTGTGTGTGTATCTGTGTGTGTATCAGTGTATGTGTGTGTGTGTATCTGTGTGTGTGTATCGGTGTGTGTGTGTGTGTATCTCTGTGTGTGTGTATCTGTGTATGTATCGGTGTGTGTGTGTGTATCTGTGTATATGTGTGTGTGTGTGTATGTATCTGTGTGTGTGTATGCATGCATCTGTGTGTGTGTGTGTGTGTGTGTATGTATCTGTGTGTGTGTGTATATATATATCTGTGTGTGGTTTTGTGCACATAGGTGCAGGTGCCCACTGTGGCCAGAAGAAGGTGTCAGATCCCTTGGAGCTGGAGATGCAGGCCATTGTCAGCTGTCCTACGTGGGTGCTGGGAACACAAATGCTCTTAATAGCTGAACCAACTTTCCAGTCCCATGGTGTGGGTACTTTTAACTTGTGGTCGGCTCTTTTACTTTCTTTACAGTATCTGTTGACAGCAGAAGGTCTTAAGGGCGGATGAGGTGTCTTAGAGGCCAAAGCACTGGCCACCGAGCCTGATTTCTGCATTTGATTCCTGCAAGTTGTCCTCTGACCTCTGCACATGTACTGTGGCACATATACACCATTCCCTGAAATAAATAAACAAATGTAAAAAAAATTAAGTCCTTATAGTTAATGTAGATACATTCATCTATTCATTATGAAGACTTTCTCCTTTTCTCTGTTGATATTTATATGCCTTCTGTTGTTTTTGTTTTAGAGATGGTTTCATGTAGTGTGTGACCTTGGTTGGCCTCAAACTTCCTGTATAGCCAAGGCTGGCTTTTAACTCCCAGCCCTGTCTCTATTTTCCAAGTGCTGGTTTCACTAGTGTGTGCAACACACTTGGCTCCTGATATGGCTGTTTGGGGCCCTTTGTGATTCCATGTAAATTTTAGACTTTTTTTCTATTTCTTTTAATAATGGTTTTAGAACTTAAATCAGGAAGCCATTGTATCTTTTGATATCCTTTGGCAATGTTAATCCCTCCAGGTGATGAATGTGCAACATCTTTCTATTTATCCATGCCATCTTCAGTTTCTTCCATTATTATTTTACAGTTTCATTTCTTCAGTTAAATTATCCCAAGTTTGTTTTTTTATAGATTTTTCTGAAATTTTCCTATCAAATCTCTACTTTGAAACCCTGAACGAAAGTGAGAAAACATGAGGGAACCGATCCCACTTCACTGGGTAACTCAGGAGTCGTTGGTACTGACAGAAGCCTGGGCTCCCGGGGCACTCCCGCCCCCCAGCATCATTTAGTCTTTGACTAATCTCCATCATCAGCTAACGCCACTTTCAATTCTATAGTGTTTTCTTTCTTCAATTCAGACCTAGTAGTCCATATTCTGTGCCTTAAAGGCATCTTGGTCTTCCCTTTATGTGGTGGGTTTGAATAGGATTGGCCCACATGGACTCATGTTTGAATGCTTGACCTATAGGGAGTGGTACTATCAAAAGATGTGTCCTTGTTGGAGGAAGTGTGTCACTGTGGGGGCGGGCTTTGAGGTCTCATATGCTCAAGCTATACCCAAAGTGGTAGACAGTTTACTTCTTGTTGCCTGTGGATCAAGATGTAGAACTCTCAGCTCTTTGTCCAGAACCATGTCTGCCTACATGCTGCCATGTCCCACCATGATGACAATGGAGTAAACCTCTGAAACTGTAAGCCAACACCTCAATTAAATGTTTTCCTTTGTAAGAATTGCTGTTTCTTCACAGCAATAGAAACCCTAACTAAGATACCTTATAATTGTAAAATCAACCCGTCTTTGTATAATTATGCAGAAAGTGCTATTGCAAAGCCAAAGCCTTCTAGAACAGTTTACTAGTTCTAGAGGACCTGGGAAAGCAGAGCCTAAAAATGAGGTGGACTAAAGTCTCATGTAATAGCCAACTTTATTAAGAGCATCAGACAATTTGTACTCTGAAGGCGAAGAAGAGTCACATGAGTAAAGTGTACAATCACAAGGACAAGCTGTCCATGGCAATAACATGTTTTTCCATAGAGGCATATAAATAAATAACAGCCAATTGTAATGAATAATCTAAAGTAAACTTACTCCTATTTGCTATACCTGGGAGGGTCATGGAAGCATAATGCAAAAACAATTCCATGTTTTTGAAGAGGCTGAGGTCACAAGACTCTTGTTTTCTTGGAGTTTTCTCACAAGCACTCAGAATTCTCCTCACACGGCTGTGTTCTGACGTCTGTCCAATGCTCCGTCTAGATAAACACGTGTATTGTATTTCTGGTTAGATTGGCATTGTTGGCAGAGGCTTCCTTTGCACCCCAGCACAGGCACATGTCACGGCTTCACTCCCCACAGACACTTCAGCTGAGGAGCTGGGCTGTAGTAGTTCAGAGCTATGTTCTCTATTGTGTTGCTGTTGAGTGAGGGCTACCTGCTTTCTGGAAACTTCCCTTGTTTTTTATTCCTAAGATTTCTCCTGAAGGAAGATTTCATTTTAAATAACAAGGAAAACTTTTACTGATATCTTTATAGCTTTCTTTTGTGTTTTGTCAAATGTTCAGTAAAACAAAAATCCCTAAACAAATCCAGTTATGTTTTTTTCTCGTTATGATTTCCTGGTGTGGAAGATGGGGCCAAGTGCCTACAAGGCCCACCCATACTCAATGCATTTGCAGTCTTCCACTGTGCGGCCTCTGATGAATAATTGGGGACAGATTCTTACAGAAAGCTTTCCCACAGTGCTTACTGCTGCCAGCCGCCATTGACAGGGCCAACGCATTAGAACCAAGGGTTCTGGTGGAGGAGTTAAACTAAAAGGCAAGGCGTTTGGGTGTTATTGCCTTTTGAATACATTGGCTGTTTCCTGCACTGCATTTCTTATGTGAGATTGTAGCCTTCCCATCTGTTACAACCTTGGGCTTCATTTCCCAAAAGTTTCTAGCAATATGATTGATCATTTATTTGGCACAATTTCCCCTATGCATTGGGGTATATTAATAACTAGCCCTGGCTATGTGTGAAAACAGTTACACAGTCAAAACCACCTTCCCACAATCATGTCTTTGTTCCTTTTTATCAACATAAACTCAGAGTCTGTCTTCCTGCAATTATCTTTATTGGCAGGCATTTGACCAGTGTTAGTTTCCAGGTACAACTATTTCATTTGAGACATTTTCAGACATTCAAGGACAAAGAATTACCACATGTCTAATTATTTACTTGTAACCTTTAGATAGGCAGCACTCGGGAAGCAGAGGCAGGCGGATCTCTGTGAGTTCAAGGCCAGTCTGGTCTACAGAGCGAGATCCAGGACAGTCACCAAAACTACACAGAGAAACCCTGTCTCAAATTAAAAAAAAGAATTTAAGGTTGGTGAAGTTAATGCAGGATAATGTTTCTCTTATCTGCAGGCAAGGTGAAGCCAGGGTACATTTTTACCCTGCCTATCTAAAGGTTACAAGTAAATAATTAGACATGTGGTAATTCTTTGTCCTTGAATGTCTGAAAATGTCTTAAATGAAATAGTTGTACCTATTTCAGTCAGAATCAGAATCTACAAGGATTCCCCACATTTATTAAGTTCATTATTTTCTAAAAAAAATTCTTTGTTTCCTGAAAAACTGAGCCATCTGGCTATGGAGTTTTCCATATTTATTACGTTAATTTATATTAATTTCAGAATGGTTTCATGCTTTGTGAGGGCTGAGCATTCTGTGAATAGTCTACCACACTCCAGCTTTTGAAAGATCTCTCTTCTATGTGAGTTCTCAGAAATGCAGTAAGGAGGAGAGCCTGCCGAAGGGTTTCCCACGTTTAGCATATTGGTTTATTCCAAACTAAGTTCCTCTGTGCTTTGCCATGTTACTCACCTTTGATCTGTGATAAGATCCCTGGCTACTGCAGCCTGAGGGAAGAGGGTTTGTTTGGCTCGTGGTTTGAGGGTACACAGTCTGCCAAAGCCAGGAAGGCATGATGGTAGCAGGCAGGTCCACAGTGGGAGCGTGTGGCTGGGACTTCTCAGTTCTTCACGTTTCAGTGGATCAGGAAGCAGAGAAAGAAGAATGCCAACTTTCTTTTCTTTCCATTTTTTTTTAAAACTTTTTTATTCAACCTAAGAAAGATCTCAGATCATGGGATGGTATCACCAGTATGAGCAGTGGGACTTCTCTCCTTAGTAATCATCTCTGGAAATGTCACAGATTTGTTCAAGGGTGTGTCTCCTAGGTGATTCTAAACCCAGTTAAATTAACAGTGAAAACTACCCTAGAAACCTTTTCACATTTGTTATCGTTAATGGGTTTTTCTACAGCATGCTTTCCCATGTGGTCCCTAACATGGGAGTCCCAGCCACAGCATTTTTCAGATTCAGTGCATTTCAAAATTTTTTTCCAGTATGAGTTCTCTGAAGTCCTATAAGGGGAGAGCTCCAGTTGAAACACTTCCATTTGCTGCCTGCCCATCTTTTCTTGTATGAATTATCTGTGGTGAATTCCACTGGAGACTTTCCCAAATTTGTTACATCTGGAGGGTTTTATTCCACTGTGAGTCTGTTCATGTTTTAAGTAAAGGCTGAATAATTCCTACAGGTATCTCTGCTTTATCACTTTCACAGGGTATCTCTGCTACATGAGTTTTCTTAAGTTCAGTGGGATGAAAATTCTCAATGAAAGGTCCTCCACATACGTTGGATCTACAGGGCTTTTCTGCAGTATTATGCTTGTCTGTTCAATATGAAATTCGTCACTCACAAAGATCTTTCCCCACTATTGTATTATTTATTTTTTTTCAGTAGTATTGATTTGTGATGTTCCATCAAGGATGACTAGAATAGCATAGTCTCATACCCTTTGTAGCCATATTGTTTTTAAATTTTTAAAAATTATTTTTAAGTGTATGTGTGTGTTTGTGTGTGTTTGAGTGCAGTGCCCAAGGAGAGCAGAAGAGAGCATTGTATTCCCTGGATTTGGAGTTACAGGCCGTTATGAGTTGCTCAGTGTGGATGTTAGGAACAGAACTTGGTTTCTCTGCAAGAGCAGTACCTGTTGTTAACCACTGAGCCATCTCTTCAGCGCTCTCCAGAGTTTATGAGATATCATATTATCTTTAGATTTTTTGCTGGAATCATTTTTATGCCTACTATTTCTTTCCTTAGTCTTTCCTCTTCCGACTTGAATGTATAGGCTGTACTATAGCAATCACTGCAGATCCTTCCACTAAATCTATTAGAGTTTTTATTAATTGGATTTTGTGTGTGTGTGTGTGTGTGTGTGTGTGTGTGTGTGTGTGTGTGTAGAGGCCAGAGGACAACCTTAGCAGTCTTTCCTCAGGCATCATCCATTTTATTTATTTATTTATTTTGAGCTTGGAATTTGCCTCGTGTGCTGGAGAGCTGGCCTCAGGGACCCACCTGTCTCCACCTCCCTAGCAGTGGGATTACAATCCTGCCACCATGCCTGGGTCTGTTTATATGGGTTCTGAGAACCAAAGGCCTCTTACAAGACACCAAGTTCACCAACTGGTTCCTCTCCCCAGCCTTGAGTTCTCTTTTGCGGAGCTATACTGTCCTGTCTGCTCAGGAATATTTAAGGAGATATCAGAGCCAGTGAACTTTCTGTCATTGAGTGCTGAAGTTTTTGTATTCATTTAAGCACTTAAAGAAGTTTTTCATTGATTAATTCCTTCATCCACTGGGTGTATGTGCACACATTTGTATACACATATGCTATGATGTGCATTCAGCGGTCAGAGGACAACTTATGGGAATTGGTTCTCTTTTTCCACTATGTGGGTTCTAGAGATCAAACTCAGGATTGGCAGAAGCACCTTACCTGCTGAGCCCTCTGTAAGCATGTTTATGCTTCCTCAAAACAGTGTGATGTGGTGATGTTCATTTCAGTCTGTGCATGGTTTTGTTACCCTTGTGGGCATGGCTTTTGTAGAACACTCCGATCCTGTGTTTGAGTGGTTTTGTGCTCTGGCTGCTTGTCTCCCAGATCCTTGCTAGCTGTGCTCAGGGGATTATTCTTATAACTCCTTACAGTTTAACAGTTGTAGTCTGGTTTTTACACTGTGCTGTGTTACTTATTTTCTGGGTCATTTTCCCATTTTGATTTTATTTAAAACAGGTGAAGAGTCACGCCCTTCTTCCCGTTTAGTCCACGGAGGGTCGTGCTCTCAGGGCTTGCTGGTGAACCTGTAGCTCTGTAGCAGCTTTACAAAAGTGAGAACATTATCCCCAGTTGTTCCGAGGAAACTACAAGCATGCATTTCTCACACTGAAGAAGACCCTTTGGTGGGTGAAGCGGCGCTTTTTGAATCTTTCTGCTCTTTGTTCATTCCCCAGGAAGAACGTGTTGTCAATCACATGGCTGCGAAGATCATTGAGAATGTTTGCACAACACTTTCTGCCCAGGCGCAGGGCTTCATCACCGGAGAAGTCGGGCCTGTCCTGTGGCACCTGTTCAGACACTCCACCGTGGACTCCCTGAGGATAACCGCAATATCGGTAGGTGAAGCACCTCTGAGGATATTCCCAGGGATGCAGCGCCATGTTTGAAGAAATGTGCCTGAATGAGGTGAATGTACTGGAAAAGGTAGAAATGTTGAGGAATAGCTCAACAGGTATACTAAAGCAGAATTCTGAAAATGGGCCTGGAAGGGTTTGGGACTTCGTGGGATGTAACATTCATTACTGGTTAAAACTATCTGGAGCTGAGCATGGAAGTCCTTGACAGCCAGTGGGTCCCAGTCCTGTGCACTCACATGTCTGACTTTATGGCTCTAAAATGAGTGACAAAGCAGCATGGTTTGTGCTCTCTCTGTTGAGCAGGGGTGTGTGGTGTCTGTAGGGTGGGGTGCCCAGTACCCGCAGAGTCTGTGACGGATCTATGCTACTGTTCCTCAGGCCCTGTGCAGAATCACACGCCAGTCTCCTGCGGCCTTCCAGAATGTCATCGAGAAGGTGGGCCTCAATGCTGTCATTAGCTCCCTGGCCTCTGCCATCTGCAAAGTGCAGCAGTACATGCTGACGCTGTTCACAGCCATGCTGTCCTGTGGGATTCATCTCCAGCGGCTGATCCAAGAAAAGGTCTGACTCTGCGCTCAACTTTGCTGGAAAAGTCAGTCTTCCCCCTACAGTGGTGCATTCGACATGAAGTGTCATCCCTGTAGGAGGCCTTTGACCTTTGCCAGACCCCTGCATGTACCACAGAACATTCGGTCAAAGATGCAAGCAGATGCTTTTGGTGGCTTCTGCCGCCTTGTTTCAGTGAGAAATAGCAGCGCTCACAAGGCTTCCTCATGCTGCTCTCCTCACACGGTGTCTTTGCAGCCAGCTCTTTCCCTCATGTCTTGTCCTCCTTCGGGGGGAGGGTCTCCGCTGTCCCTCTTTCCTCTGACCCGTGTCACCGTTGAGTCTTGACTTTACTGGCTCCCCGTTTGCACGGTGGCTGTGACTGGGTCTCTGTTCCGGCTGAAGTGATGCAGGCTACCGTCACCTCTGCGACTGTCTTACGTTGGGAATGCAGACCCTTAGGCCTGCTGCCCCGCTGCCGCCTCAGAGCCCATAGGTGAATGCTGTGTCTGCTGAGTGATCGCACCCGTTTTCAGAAGCCTGCGACTGTGTGTGCACGAGGTCCAACAGTTAAAGAAGACCATGTTTGTACACAAGTTTCTGAGGCAGGGGGTCAAGGCTTGACATGTTCTTGGTTGTTTAGTGTTTCCCAAGTTCTTAAAAAGATGCTCCATGTAGTGTTCAACACACCTGGGCCAGGCATGGGGAAGCACACATTAAAATCCGAGTTATCTATCCATCCATTCACTCATTCATTCATTCATTCATTCATTCACTCACTCACTCTGTGCTGGGGATGGAACCAGGTGCTCTTACATATTAGGCACGCCTTTTGCCACTGAGCAACACCCCCACTCTCAAATCAGAGTTTTGTGAATCTCCGTGGAGGATCACGGACTTGAAACCCGCTCTTGGCCATGGTCCCACTGTAGTAAATGCTAGCTGTTGTATTTTTTATATTTAGAGTTAGATTTCGTTACATTAACACCATATGTGCATGGTACCTTAGTTTCTGTTGCTGTGATAGAATACTCTGACAAACACACTCAAGGACAAGGGTTGATTTTAGCGCACAGTCAAGGGTACAGGACAGCATGGTGGGAAAGTCAAGGCTGCGGGGGCTCGAAGCCGCTGCTCATATCATCCACAGCCAGGAAGCAGAGCTGTGACTGTAGGCTGCTCAGCTTCCTCCTCCATCTGTACAGACCAGGGTCCAGGCCAGGGGTCGGCTCCACCCACAGTGGGCGGGGCCTCCCAGGCAATTCCAGGCTGTCAGGGTGGCACCAACAGCTTGATGTGTGAAAGTCTAAATACAGAGCAACACACACTTCCCCTTCATGGCAGTTTGATGTCACTCAGATGGCTGTGTGTGGGAGTCCAGCTCCCACCTTTTAAAGGGTTCTTAGGTAGAGGAGACAGGAATGAGGAAATAGCAGAAAGAAAGATGGAGACGAGAAGAAAGACAGAAACAGGATAGCTTCAGGAGGGCCTGGGTCAATACCCACCAGCCTCCTCCTTTATTGAAAAGGGCTTTTTATAACATGTCAAGGGAAGAGGCAAAAGATCTCCCCGCTGCAAGATCAAAGCACACCATACAGCCAAATGCAGACCCTTCCAAACACATGGTAACCATGCCTGTGACCAAATCATCTCCTTATGCATCCCTGCTGGGTAAAGCGAGCTCAGATTCTCTGACCCTGAGTGGGGTCTCACTAGGAAACCTCTGTGGACCCCACAGCTGTGGCTGCAAGCAAGTGTTGTTCAGCAGTCTGTGTGTCTAGATTTGCTGTTCAGTTTTCCAAGTTATTAAATGCTACAGTCACTGCGTAGAAATAGTCACCCTTGGGTAACTTCATTTTGTAAGTTGTGATCAGAGAGACTGAGAGTTTTAACAAAATTATTTTTAAACTTTCAATGCACAATTATATAATATTTTACAAAGTCAGGAAAATGAGATACATTGTTTCATGCCATGTAGCTATGTTTCCATGTCTCTTGAAGAAATGAATGAATGGATAATAGAAGGGTGATTGTTCACTTTTAATTTGTATTGGCCCTTTCTCCCACCCTAGTACCAACCAGGTCATACTCTGCCTGGCTTGTGAGACCAGATGAGTTCAAAGTATTGTGGCTAAGGCAGGGCCCATCCTTTTCTTTTCTTGAAACTTTATTTCTGTGTGTATGTGATTGCGTGTGCACGTATGCCATGGCGTGTGTGTGGAGGTCAGAGGCAGCTGTGTGGATCTGGTCCTTTCCTTCATGCAGGTTCTAGTGACTGAACTGCAGGTCTTAAGTTCCCTGGCAAGTGCTTACCCACTGAGCCATCTCATGGGACCAGTATTGGCATTTTGCAAGAAGTGTCTCATCAGAGCAGAAAGGCATCCATCCCTAAGTGCACAGCTGGGTGGAGTCACACTTACCCATGTTGTTGCTGGCTTACAGCAGGGTGCTTTTATCTTGAACATTGAAACCCAATATGTAGACAACATCTTAGGTGGCATGTCGTAAGACTCTGATTGCAGTTAAATTCCTACTTTTGTAGGGCATCTGACACCACACTGGCATGGGGGAAGGAGGTGTTGTCTCCTTACTGCTGGGTTGGGCAGCCATTTAGGTTCCCTGTTGAGTTCATTGATACCTGATTTGGGGGACAAGCGAACCCCTTATGGCACTGGCCAAGGGGGTTCTGGCTTTTCACTTTGTCTTCTATGATGGGCACCTCTCTGGTTGGTAGGGAACTGGTTCCTGGAGATGGCCTGCACAAATGCTGGTGTCTGGGAATGAGACTTTATTACTGATGGAAGGGGATGCAGATGTGGGCTTCCTACTCTGCCTCTCTTGGTAACAGCCACAGGGAAAGGGAGGAAGGTGCTACTGCTGCATGTGAGCATGCTGCAGATCCCCATCTAGTGTGTTCTGACAGCAAGGTTGGAGAAGGGGGACCCAGCTGGAGAAGTGGGGACCCAGCTGGAGAAGGGTTCCTGGTTATGGTAGTGTTGAGATAAAAGCCCCAGTTTTTCACAGGTCTTCATTGGCACTGCTTTGTCATGGGATAGTGTTGGGGTGCTCTGTCATGATCAGATGAGGTCTAGGGCCCCACAGTTCCTTTGCTAATGGAACTGGGGATGTGTTTTTCATGATATTTGGCTGAAACAGTAGCAGATGTCTAGTAGTTTTCTGTGTTGCAGGATAACCCTTGTTCCTTTGGCTTTGCCTGGACATGCTTGGCTACTTTCTTGTGTATGGGTGCATGTATTGTATGTACAATCATGTTTGGTGTGCTCGCTTGTGCATGCACAGGTGGAGATATTTTGTAGCAATTTCTTGGGATTTGAAGCTTCCATCCTAGAGACAGGCTGGTTAAGATTCAGAAACTGAACAACTCACAAGTCTCAGGAAGTCCCTGAAACTGACCAGACTCACCAGGCTCCTCCATCCCCAAAGTTGTATAAGCAGTAAGAATGGCTGAGGAGAGGAGACCCTCCAGTCTGTTGAGCAGCCTTCACCTCATGCAAAGATGACAGGTTTTCTAAGTCCACATCTAGGCTTGGTGGGCTTTTTGGTGATACAGTTGCCTGTGAGTAATTCTTCATTCATGCTCCTGTAAGGAACCCCAGTAAACTCATTGCTTCTCTGTAGGTGGACTTTTCTGTCCGCCAGCCAGTCTCCAAATAACTACACAGAGATTTATTATTAATTATAAATGCTTTGCCACGTGGCTTGGTACCTTTTCTCAATATGGCAAGTTCATCTCCTGCTTCACCTCCATCTCCTCATGACTCCCCAGATTCCTTTCTTCTTCTTCAAGCTCTCTTTTTGTCTGTCAGTCCTGCCTGACCTCTACCTGTCCAGCTATTGGCCAGTCAGCTTCCTTATTAACCCAGCCACTGTGATTCCCACAGTGCAGAGGAGTATTCCACGATTTTCCATCTGTCCTCATTGCCCTGTTTGGGGTGGGCAGTTGTTTGTGAAAAGACAGGATGGCCTGTACTGCTTTCCACCTTATTAAGTTTTGAGGCAGTCTCTTACTGAACGTAGTGTTTGCAGTTTTGGCTTGGTCAGCTGACTGGCCAGCATGTTCCCAGAATCCTCCTGTCTGTTTTCTGACCGCACGCACCAGGGTTTTTAGGTGTGGGCTAGCAGGTGTGGCTTTTGCATGGGTTCTGGGGCGCTGACCTTCATGCTCGCTCAGCAAGCGCTTTACCCACAGAGCCATCTCCCCAGCTCCCGCATCATTTTCTTATGATAAACTCTTAAGTAAACTTGCCAGGTTACTCTCATTTTTAAAAGGCCCTTTTCCTAAGTAGTCTATTTTTCGTGGTGTGGTTTATTATGTTGGAAATAGCTGCAATGTTAGTGAAAGACCCACTGGTGGCATGTGGGAGAAGTGCCTCAGAGCTGTGCAAAGTTCATAGTCAAAGCCCCTTTCTTCCCTTCAATCTATTTTTCTGTCTCAGCCCAGACACATAGTGGTCCCGTGGTGAGTTTCAGTGTTCTTCTCTTCCAACTCTCCATCTCTATGACTTCAGTGAGCCACAAAGTTATAGAATGTCAACAGCTGTGGCTCTGGTTGGAAGCTTTGCCCAGAAACCACACAGGTTGCAACATCCACTTTGTCCTCTGACACTAACACCCAGGCAGAATGTTGCTCTTCAGAACATAGAGGAGAAGGGTCCGGAAGACTGCAGCTGAGTAGATGGACACTGGCACCCTGTAGGAAACTCCAATAAACTCATTGCTTCTCCAAGTGTGGCTTTGGTAGAGTTGTGCCTACAGGTTTGTGTTTACAGGTTTGATTAGATCCCAGTTTGGATTCCTGAGGGAGGGTAAACTCCACCAGGGGAGTGGATTCCTCCCAGAAGAAGAGACACCATCACTTACCTGCCTGTTTGCTGATATGTGGAGTGGCATGGGGCACTTCCTGCACCATCTGCATCCGGTTTCATGGAGGCTTCAGCAGCCATCAGTGATGTTTGCTTATGTTGGGCTCTACTGGATCCGAGCCCTGTCATTTA